TGCCCCGCTCCTGTCTCATTCTGCTTTGTGGCCTGTGCTGGTGGCTCCAGTCGATCTTGAGGTGGTCCTGGTGAAACAAAGAATGCAGATGTGGTGGGACTGGACTTACCATTCTATAAAGATTTCATGAGTTTAATGAGGTTTCACTAGTCATCTCTGATTGCTGATGAACAATTGAAGAAAAACATAAGAAAACTCACATGATATCGATATAGTTGAACATGACGCTGATACGTTTCAATATATAGAGAACACGGTGTTGCCTGATGGATATTTCAAAATATTCCCATACGCAAGCGGCGGGCTGCCCCGTTCCTGTCTCATCCTGCTTTGTGGCCTCTGCTAGTGGCTCCGGTCGATCTTCAGGCGGTCCTGGTGAGACAAAAACTGCAGATTTGGTGGGACTGGACTTACCATTCTATAAAGATTTCGTGAGGTTAATGGGGTTTCACTACTTATCTTTGACTGCCGATGAAAAATTACATCAGAAGAACTCACATGGTATCGATATAGTTGAACATGACGCCCATACGTTGCAATTTATAGTGAACATGGTGTTACCTGATGGATATTCCCAAACGCAAGCGAACTGCCCCACTCCTGTCTGATCCTGCTTTGTGGCCTCTGCTGATGGTCGATCTTGAGGTGGTCCTGGTGGCACGGGATCTATGAACATGTGCAAGGCCAGGACTTGTCGTTCTATAGAGAATTCACTGGCGCTGCCCAAACATGCTCTCGCTCATCGCGATGCTACAACGGCACACCTCTATGAAATTATGGGGTTGAACCCCCTCGCGCTCAATGACAGCAACCCGCGGAAATGACTCTAGGCAGCTTCATAGCCTTTCATATCTACTGCTCGCTGAACATACCGATCTAAAATAGAGGGTCTGGCCCTCACAGAAACATTGAAAACTACAGCATTTTCATGTATTTTCTAGGACGGATACTACATCATCAAATCTAGACATACATGCATCCAGCTAACTACGTACTAGTAGCAGGGCCATATTCATTATATAATTGGCATTGTTCATCTCTATTCATCTCTAGGCTCCACTCCAACACTCCTCGTCATACCATGTCATACTCACGTGAGGGCCGGCAACTGCACATCATGAAATGCAACGCAACACGAATTGCTGAGCTCTTGCTTTCATTTGCTTTCCATTCAATATAAGTTATTGAGTTTCCCTTCCAATCCAGATCCGGCAGCAATGCATCATGTGTGGCGTGGAAACACTTTTACGTCCTTCTTACTGTTGGTTCGCGCGCTCATGCAAGCACCGCGATAGCCGTCGTCTGCAACCTACGCTCATGAAGTGGAGAATTCAATGCTCCAATCTGCCACGCAAGAACATTCGCATCTATAAAATGAGAGGGCTGACCACACAGTGCCCCATGAAAAGCGAGGGGTAACCCGATGCTCACCGCCGCAGCATGCCATGGTAGAACCATGTAGCACCCATGCTATCCTTCTCCTCCTGCCTTCTCCTCATCTCCTCATCCCTTCTCAGGATACGGAAACTATGTGGTATTGTATTGGACGCGATGTTGTATAGTGAGGGCCTCTTCTGCTCCTTCAGCGTCATCTAGCTGAGGTTGCGTATGCTCGGAACTCCCTAAAAACAATCATGAGCGAGGCCAAATCTATAAAATCAATAGTCCCCACCCTCACACACCAGAATCTCTGTATAGAATGACACAAGTGAAATGGACATTTCCACTGTCTCGCCCCCCAAATCTCAGCTAATTTGTATAATCGACTATTTCCTAGATCTTGCTGGCCTTGGCCTAGTGTCTTTCGGCGCCTCTTCGAATCCAGGGACCCAATCTATAAAATTAGAAGCTCCCACCCACACAGACCCCAAGTCGGTGTTCATTTGAGCCCCCAATGGTGGATTTAAATGAACACCGATTTGGGGCCCGCATTTCTTGCATCATGAGCCAGG